TCTACCAAACATTTATGGAACAAATTATACCAGTTCTCAAATATACATATTTCATTTATATGAAATATATATATGTGTGAAATATATATATATATATATATATATATATATATAAGACCAATATATAAAGGTCAATCACTTTCCTATATTATCAGCAACGAACAGAGGAATTTTCAATTAAAAGCACAATATTGGAAGGGGAATAAAGGGAAAGGAGATAAAATGAGTGAAAAATATCAGTGAGGGTGACAAAACATGAGAGACATCTAACTCTGGGAAATGAACAAGGGGTAGTGGAAAGGGAGGTGGGTGGCAATTTGGGGTGACTGGGTGATGGGCACTGAGGGAGGCACTTGGTGGGATGAGCATTGGGTGTTATGGTATATGTTGGCAAATTGAACTCCAATAAAAAAACATTAAAAAAAGCACAATATTGTTAACATTAGAACCCATGAAAATGAAATACTGAGTTATAAATCTAACCAAATGTGTACAAGATCTATATATGAAAAACTACAAACTCTAATGACAGAAATCAGAAGAATTACATAAAAGGAGAGAAACCCCATGTTCATGGATAAGAGAACTCAATATTGTCAAGAAGCCAGTTCTTTCCAACTTGATCTATGCACTCAATGCAATTCCAATCAAGATCCCAGCAAGTTATTCTGTGGATATTAACAAAGTGATTATAAAGTTTATTTGGAGAGGCAATCACAGAATAGAAGACACAATATTGAGGGGAAAAAACAAAGTCAAAGAACTAATTCTGAACTTAGAATAAAGTGTCAGTAACTAAAACAATGTGGGATCAAAGGAATAAAACAGAGATCCCAGGAATACACCAACATAAACAACATCGACTGCTCTTTGACAAAGTAGCAAAGGCAATACAATAGAACAAAGATAGTTTTTCACCAAATGGTGCTGCAATCCTGAATATCTACATGCAAACAAATGAATCTATACACAGACTTTACATCCTTCAAGAACACAAATTCAAAATGTATAATAGACTTAAATGTAAAATGCAAAACTACAAAAGTCCTAATATAATACAGGAGAAAAATCTAGAAGACCTTCTGTTTTGTGATTACATTTTAGATACTTTTTGGCTAAAACTCCAATGTACAAGCAATAAAAGAAAGAAGCGATATACTGAACTTCATTAAAATTAAACATTTCCACTCTGTGAAGGATACTGTCAAGAACATGAGAAGACAAGTCACGGACTGAGAAGAAATATTTGTAAAAGGCCTGATAGAACATAAAGACTCCTAACTCTGGGAAACGAACTAGGGGTGGTGGAAGGGGAGGAGGGTGGGGGGTGGGGATGAATGGGTGACAGGCACTGAGGGGGGCACTTGACAGGGTGAGCACTGGGTGTTATTCTGTATGTTGGCAAATTGAACACCAATAAAAAATAAATTTGTTATTTAAAAAAAGCCTGATAAAGGATAGTTATCCAAATATAAAAAAAAACTCTTCAAATTCAACAATAAAACATAAAAACCAACCTAATTATAAAATGGATAAGAAACCTGAATAGACACTTCACCAAAAAAGATATATACAAATGGAAAATAAGCATAAGAAGCAGGGCTTGGCATATGTCAATGACAAATCACACATTAAAATAATGAGACACCTCTACAAACCTATCAGAATGGCCAACATTTAAAACATCAACATAATATTAAAAGTCCAAACCTCCGCAATCAGACAACAAAAAGAAGGAAAAGGCAAGTTGGCAAAGAAAAAGTCAAACTCTCACTCTTCACAGATGACATGATACTGTATGTGGAAAACCCAAAAGTCTCCACCCCAAAATTGCTAGAATTCATACAGCAATTCAGCAACATGGCAGGATACAAAATCAATGCACAGAAATCAGCGGCATTTCTGTACACTAACAATGAGGCTGAAGAAAGAGAAATTAAGGAATCGATCCCATTTTCAACTGCACCAAAATCCGTAAGACACCTAGGAATAAACCTAACCAAAGAGGTAAAGGATTTATACTCTAAAAACTACGAAGTCTTATGAAAGAAACTGAGGAAGATACAAAGAAATGGAAAACATTTTATGCTCATGGATTGGAAGACTAAATATTGTGGAAATGTCTATGCTACCCAGGGCAAGTTACAGGTTCAATGCAATCCCTATCAAAATACCATGGTCTTTCTTCACAGAGTTGGAACAAATAATCTTTAAGGTTTGTATGGAATCAGAAAAGACTGAATAGTCAGAGGAATATTGAAAAAGAAAACCAATGCCAGGGGCATCGCAATGCCAGATTTCAAGCTGTATTACAAAGCTGTGATGGTCAAGACAGTGTGGTACTGGCACAAAACAGACATATAGATCAATGGAACAGAATAGAGAATCTAGGAATGGATCCTCAACTCTGTGGTCAAATAATCTCTTACAAAGCAGGAAAGAATATTCAATGGAAAAAAGTCTGTTAAGCAAATGGTGTTGGGAAGACTGGACAGCCTCATGCAGAAGAATGAAACTGGACCACTCTCTTACACAAAGATAACACCAACACAAAGATAAGCTCAAAATGATGAAAGAAGTAATGTGAGACAAGAATAAAACCTAGAAGAGAACAAAGGCAGGGACTTCTTTGACCTCAGCCACAGCAACTTCTTGCTAGACTCATCTCTAAAAGCAAGGGAAACAAAGGCATAAAGGAACTATTTGAACTCATCAAGATAAAAAGCTTCTGCACAGCAAAGGAAAGAGTAGACAAAACCAAAAGAGAACCTACAAAATGGGAGAAGATATTTGCAAATGGCATATCAGATAAAGGGCTAGTATCCAAGATCTATAAAGAACTTATCAAACTTAACACCCAAAACACAAAAAATCTAGCAAGGAAATCAGAACACATGAACATACATTTCTCCAAAGTAGACACAAATGGCCAACAGACATGTCAAAGAATGTTCAGCATCACTCAGCATCAGGGAATACAAGCCAAAACCAAATGAGATACCACTTCACACCAGTCAGAATGGCTAAAATTAACAAATCAGGAAACAACAGACATTGGTGAGGATGTGGAGAAAGGGGAACCCTCTTGCACTGTTGGTGGGAATGCAAGCTGGTGCAGCCACTCTGGGAAACAGTATGGAGGTCCCTCAAAGAGTTAAAAATAGAGCTACCCTATGACCCAGCAATTGCACTACTAGGTATTTACCCAAAGAACACAAACATAGGGATCCAAAGGGGCACCTGCACCTCAATGTTTATAGCAGGATGTCTACAATAGCCAAACTACAGAGAGAGTCTAGGTGTCCATCGGCAGATGAATGGATATATATGGAATGGAATATTACTCAGCCATCAAAAAATGAAATCTGCCATTTGCAATGACATGGACACAACTAGAGAATATCATGCTAATAGAAATAAGTCAATCAGAGAAAGACAAATATATGATCTCACTCATATTTGGAATTTAAGAAACAGAGGAGCATAGGGGAAGGGAGGGGAAAAAAACAAGACAAAATCAGAGGGCAACAAACCATAAGAGAGTCTTAAATCTAGGAAATCTAGGTTGCTGGAGGGGAAGTGGGTGGGGAGATTGGGTAACTGGGTGATGGGTTATAAGGAGGGCACATGATGTAATGAGCACTACATGTTATATACAACTGATGAATCACTGAACTCTACCTCTGAAAATAATAATATACTATATGTTAATTAATTTAATGTAAATAAAATTTTAAAAGGAAAGAAAGAAAAAGGAAGGAAGGAAAGAAGAAGGAAGAAAGGAAGAAAGGAAGGAAGGAAAGAAGGAAAGGAAGGAAAGCCTTGGTATCTCCCAAATTTGGGGAGAGATTTAGACATCAAAGTTCTTGAAGCATGTCCACAATAGCCAAACTGTGGAAGGAGCCTCAGTGTCCATCGAAAGATGAATGGATAAAGAAGATGTGGTATATGTATACAATGGGATATTCCTCAGCCATTAGAAACGACAAATACCCACCATTTGTTTCGACATGGATGGAACTGGAGGGTATTATGCTGAGTGAAATACGTCAATCGGAGAAGGACAAACATTATATGGTCTCATTCATTTGGGGAATATAAAAAATAGTGAAAGGGAATAAAGGGGAAAGGAGGAAAAATGAGTGGGAAGTATCAGAAAGGGAGACAGGACATGAGAGACTCCTAACTCTGGGAAACGAACTAGGGGTGGTGGAAGGGGAGGGGGCGGGAGGTGGGGGTGACTGGGTGACGGGCACTGAGGGGGGCACTTGATGGGATGAGCACTGGGTGTTATTCTATATGTTGGCAAACTGAACACCAATAAAAAATAAATTTATATAAAAAAAAGTTCATGAAGCTCTTAGTTCCCTAAACATATTCAACTCAAATGAGTATTCTCCAAGACACATCAATAGTAAAGCTTTTTAAAATCAAAGACAAAGAGAAATCTTAAAATCAGTAAGAGAAAGGGAGTTTATCACTTACAAGGGAACCCCCTTCCCATAAGGCAATCTGTGTATTTCTCAGCACAAACCTGACAGTCCAGGAGACAATGGAATGCCATATTCAAAATGATAAAAGAAAAAACTGCCAATCTAGAAAACTTTACTTCAGAAATGAAAAATACATAAGGCTTTTCCAGACAACTGCTGAGGGAGTTCATCACTGCTACACTTGCCTCATAAGAAATTGCCTAAGGAGTTCAGTTTTTCAACTAACTGCAAAAAGGAAATTTGTCATTTTGAAACATCCTACAAAGAAAAGCCCAGGTCCAGGGGTCTTATTTTTTTAATAGTAAATTTATTTTTATTGGTGTTCAGGGGTCTTAATTCTACCAAATATTTAAGGAATTAATACCTACCCCTTCACAAACCTCTCCAAAACAAAGAAGAGGAGGGAACAGCTCCTGACCTATTCTTTGAGGCACTCCCTCTCCCCCTGTTCCCTCTCCCCAGCCTCCTCCCTCTCCCTGACTCTCAGAACTGAGAGGGCTGTCTTACTTGGAACATTGTACTTCTGGAGACAGTAGGCAAGCTCCATAGGTTGCACTGCTTTCTGACGGCTGTCCTGCATCCTCTCCAGTAGCAAGAGCAATTGGAAGGGGACACTTCTCCTCTGCTCTTCTGTTCCCCTTGGTACCGTTATCCTGCCAAATAAGCACATCCATGAACCTCCTTATTCCCAGAGTTCTCAATGTGAGCTGCATACTGAAATCACTTGGGAGACTTTCGAAACTCTCCATGCCCAGGCCACTCTGCAGACAAACTAAATCAGAATTTTTTTTAAATCAAAATTTCCAATGGTGGGGCCCAATTATCAGAATATTTAAGTTTACCAGATGATTTAAATGTATAGATAAGGGGCACCTTGGTGGCTGAGTTGGTTAAGATTCTGCCTTCGGCTCGGGTTAAGATCCCAGAGTCCTAGAATCAAGCCCCACATCAGGGTCCCTGCTCAGTGGGGAGTCTGCTTCTTCTTCTACCCCTCACCCCCTCATGCTCTCTCTCTCTTTCACTCTCAAATTAAATATAAATAAATAAATAAATAAACAAATAAAGTTGAGAAGCATCATATTAGCAAATTGGCTATAGAGAATATCCTCTCAAGAGGAGAATCAGACAACTGTTACCTCACCCCTCTCCCCACTCTGCCCAACAATCACACTTAAATGAAGGGCAGATAAGAAGTCCTAGGTCCACAGCAAAGTGGCCATACCCCAAATATCCAGGCTGAAGTACTCCAAAGTGAAAAGGCAAATACTGATCTAGGCTCTGGCAATAAAAGAAAACATGAAGTAATGTCAGTTTATTTTGAAAATGATTTGCCCAATAATAGGCGTCTCTCAGTTGCCCGTGCAATTAGAAGGGAGAACACAATTAGGAACACAACTAGATAACTATTGGATCATCTCAAAATCTGACCTGAAGACAGAACAAACTCCACAACTAAAGGTAGAAAAGAATACAGGAAATGCAGAGATGCGATTTTGGGGAGAAACAGACTGCAGGTGCTGCAGAGGGGATGGAGAAGGGGAGAAATAGAGAGAAACACACAGGAGAACACACAAAGAGAATATTTCCCCAAAGCTACTGGCTTAGAAAAGGAGAGGAGCAGAATTTCATGAGTTCTTGCAATCAGCAGGACTTAAAGCTTGAAATTTTAAAGATCAGAGGGTTTGGCTGGGCTAGAGCCCAGTGGGTTCACTACGCTGTTCCTGGAAAGAAGGCAGGAAACAACCTGGGGGAAGACAGCATTGAAACAGTGATCTAAAGACTGTCTGGGACATACAGTGGGAAGAGTATTTGCTCTTCTCAAAGCACGTCCCTGAGAGACAGCAAGCACAGAGACACCATCCAGGAATGAAAGAGCCAGGTGGCACCATTTCACTCCCCTGCCCCTCAGCATAAACACACAGCCACCTGTGGGAAGCAGCACAGTGACAACACTGGCTGCCTAACTTACCTACAACAAGCCCCATACTCCGTCACTCCAGTCATACTTGCCTGTATCCCAATGTGGTGATCCCCTCACCCAAAAGACCAGTACAAATCCCATACCACACTTCCCAACTAGAGAGTCCTGCAGGACCTCAGTTGTGGGGGAGGTGGTGACAGGTCTCATTTCACAAGCAGACCAGGGCACACCTAGTTTGAATTCACAACCTATTAAAATTCAGGCCAGGGACAAAACACTGCCTACAGCAGGCAAAGAGACCTCTTCAAACAACTGGCCTGAAGGACAGATCAACCAAAACACAACAGAAGAGAACATGCAGCACACACAGGAGACACTCCCTGAAGCAGCATGCCTTTGACACTATCTGACCTCCCTTCTTTAGGCCATTACTTCCAGGAAGAGGAGACACAGCTGGATTTTCTAACATAAAGAAGCAGGCAGAGACTTAGACACAATGGGAAGGCAGGGGAATTTATCCCAAATGCAGAACATGATAAGGCCATGCCAGAGATCTAAGTGAAACAGACATAAGTAACATGCCTGAGGGAAAATATAAAGTAACAATTATAAGGATACTCACTGGGCTTGAGAGAAGAATGAAAGACAACAGTGAGATCCTTACCACAGAGACAAGAGTTTAAAAAGAACCAATCTTGTCTGGGGGAAAGATGGTGGAGTAGGGGCTTCACCTCACCTGGCCCAAACTCACCTAGATAACTTCCAAACCATCCTGGATACCTAGGAATTCAACCTGAGATTTAAAGAGAGAATAGCCGAATGCTACAGAGAGAAGGGTTTTCGCTTCTAACAAGGTAGGAAGGCGGGGAAAAAAAAGAAAATAAAAAAGAATCAAGTGGGAGAGAGGCCCCGCGAGAACCTGCGGGACAGGAAAGCCCAGCCCCAGAGAAGTGGAAACTTTAAAAATCTGCACGGGATTCTTCCCTGACAGAGAAAAGCTCAGCAGGGAAATTGGGCAGAACCACAGGAGGGGGAAGTGAAGCCTCCAGTCTCCTGGAGTCACTACTAGAGGAAGTGCGCCCAAGGTAAGCACGGGCCAATCTCAGTAAAGGGCTGGGCTTGCACCCAGCAGGGCATCAGGAAGAAGCCGGTTGGTCAGGTGGGGGCTCCAGACCGAGGGGTCTGCACCCTGCTGCTTTCAGGAGCCACGGCCCCGGAGCGCGATTCCAGCTGCGCAGGCCCTGGATCCCAGGGCACCGGGGGACACAGCTCACCATCCTGAGCTCCCCCCCTACAGGCAGAGGTGGGGAGGGCATGAAACAGCGAGGACTCTCCTGCTGCCAGGTGCCCCAAGATGTGTAGGTCAGTGCCCCCACCCTGGGAGCATCTAGGCTAGTGTGGACTGGGAGATTGCGGGTGGTTACTGGGGAAGCTGACCCCAGAGTTGGAGTCAGTGTTGGCCACCGCCAGTGTTGTTGTTCCTCCTGGTGTCACCTGCTGCCTGGGAGGGGCGGAGGCCCAGGGGACAGAGGCCTCACAGGGTAAACAGCTCCCACTGAGCCCAGTACCCAGCAGGTGGTGGGGGCATCTCCCCAGGTACACACGCCTGAGAGTCAGCACAGCAGACCCGCCCCCAGAAGACCAACTGGAGGGACAGGGGAAGAACAAAATCTTGACCAATCAGCAATGGAAAGCTCCAGGGGAATTCGAGGTATTTATAGTATATAGAACCAAAGGGTACCCGTTCCTTTTTTAAAAATTTTTTAAAATATTTTCCCTTTTTCCATCACAACTCATTTTTATATCAGACTAAAAGTTTCCAATATTTTTTCTCTTTTCCCACCTTAACTACAATATTTCACCACTTCTTCATTTTTAAGTTTCTTCCTTTTTGACTTCCTTATTTCTACAATTACAGGTCTTAGATATATTTTACACTTCTAGATTTCCTTCACCATAATCAACTTATTTTGGGAAGGATATAAAGATAAGTTTTGTTTTGTTTTCTGTTTTTTGTTTCCTCTGCCTCATTTTGTTCTACAATGGAGGAAGTTAATATCTTCTAAAACATGACCAGCATGCACCCAGACCAAGTGGAATACCATGCTGGTTCATTCTGTGAGACTATATTCTCTCTTCATTCCCATCCTGCCCCCTTCTTTTATCTCATTTATGTTTTGGTGGTCAATGTTGGGGCTTTCTACAAGTATTGCTGGTTTACATAAATTTGGGACTGAGCATCTTCTAACATACAGAAATTAATATACTCAAAACCAAAGGATCACCATCTAGGACCCCTCAGGTAGATTATATTCTCCCTCCACTACAACTTCGTCACCACCACCATCTCCCAGTCCCCTGCCCTTTTTCTTTCTTCTCCTTTCTTTTTCCTCTTTTTTCTCTACTTTTGCTTATTTCTCTTCTTTTTTTCTTCTTCTTTGGGATTCTTGGCCTTTTATTACTTACTACTTTAAAATTGTTTTAAAATTTGTTTTTCACTTTAGTGGTCCTTTTGTTTAATTTTGTTCTGATCTTTGTTTTCAATTTCTGGTCTCTGACCTCATCAAAATCATCAAGGGTGAAATTTACTTAGGTCTTGATTGATACTCTGGAGTCATCCCACTCATACTCAGCACTGAGCAAAATGACTAGAAGTAAGAACTCACCACAAAAGAAAGAATGAGAAACAGCACTCTCTGCAACAGAGTTATAGAACTTGGATTAAAAGTCGATGTCAGAAAGCCAATTGAAAAACACAATTATAAAGCTCCTGGTAGCTCTGGAAAAAAAAACATAAAGGATTCAAGAGACTTCATGACTGCAGAATTTAGATCTAATCAGGTCAAAGTTAAAAATTAATTAAATGAGATGCAATCCAAGCTGGATGTCCTACTAATGACGAGGGTTAATGAGGTAGAAGAAAGAGTGAGTGACATAGAAGATAAGTTGATGGCAAGGAAGATAAAAAAAAAAGAAAAAGAAAAGACCATGAGGAAAGGTTAAGGGAAATAAATGATAGCCTCAGAAGGAAGAATTTATGTATAATTGCAGTTCCAGAGAGCGCCAAGAGGCCCAGAGGCCCAGAAAGCATATTTGAACAAATCATAGCTCAAACTTCCCTAATTTGGGAAAGGAAACAGGCATTCAGACCCAGGAGATAGAGAGGTACCCCCACACACCGAAAATCAATAAAAACCATTCAACACCTCAACATTTAATAGTGACACTTGCAAATTCCAAAGATAAAGAGAAGATCCTTAAGGCAGCAAGAGACAAGAGATCCCTAACTTATATGGGGAGATATATTAGATTAACAGCAGACCTCTCCACAGAGACCGGGCAGGCCAGAAGGGCTGGCAGGATATATTCAGGGTCCTAAATGAGAAGAACATGTAGCCAAGAATACTCTATCCAGCAAGGCTCTCATGCAGAATAGAAGGAGAGATAAAGAGCTTCCAAGATAGGCAGAAACTGAAAGAATATGTGACCACTAAACCAGCTCTGTAAGAAATATTAAGGGGGACTCTTTAAAAGAAAGAGGAAGCCCAAAGAAATAATCCACAAAAACAGGGAATGAATAGGTATTATGATGGCACCAAATTCATATCTTTCAATAGTTACTCTGAACATAAATGAGCTAAATGATCCCATCAAAAGACTCAGGGTTTCAGACTGGATGAAAGAGCAAGATCCATCCATTTGCTGTCTACAAGACACTCATTTTAGACAGAAGGACACCTACAGCCTGAAAACCAAAGATTGGAGAACCATTTACCATTCAAATGGTCCTCAAAGAAAGCAGGGGTAGCAATCCTCATATCAGATAAACTAAAGTTTATCTCAAAGACTGTAGTAAGAGATGAAGAGGGACACTATATCATACTTAATGGGTTATCCAACAAGAACCTAACATTCATGAATATTTATGCCTCTAATGTGGGAGCTGACAAGTATATCAGTCAATTAATAACCAAAGTAAAGACATACTTAGACTACTTACTACATACGTACACTAATAGTAGGAGACTTCAAAATGGCACTTTCTGGAAATGACAGATCTTCTAAGCTCAAAATCACCAAAGAAACTTTAAATGATACACCAGACCAGATGGATTTCACAGATATATAAAGAACTTTCCATCCAAATGAAACTGAATACACATTCTTCTCAAGTGCACATGGAAAAACTTTATCCAGAATAGACCACATACTGGGTCACATATCAGGTCTAAACCAATACCAAAAGAGTGGGATTGTCCCCTGCATATTTTCAGACCACAATGCTTTGAAACTAGAACTCAATCACAAGAAGAAATTTGGAAGAAACTCAAACACGTGAAGGGGACAGGGCATCCTACTAAAAGATGAAAGGGTCAACCAGGAAATTAGAGAAGAATTAAAAAGATTCATAGAAACTAATGAAAATGAAGATACAACTGTTCAAAATCATTGGGATACAGCAAAAGCAGTCCTAAGAGGGAAATACATGGCAATACAAGCTCCCCTCAAAAAATTGGAAAGAACTCAAATACAGAGCTAACCTCTCACTTAAAGGAACTGGAGATAGAAGAGCAAATAAAACCTACACCAAGCATAAGAAGACAGATAATAAAGATTCAAGCAGAACACAATGAAATAGAGACCAGAAGAACTGTGGAAAAGATGAACAAAACCAGGACTTGGTTCCTTGAAAGAATTAACAAGATAGATGAACCATTAGCCAGCCTTATTAAAAAGAAAAGGGAAAGACTCAAATTAATAAAACCATGAATGAAATAGAGAGATCAAAACCAATACCAAGGAAATACAAACGATTTTAAAAACAAAATATGAGCAGCTAAACACCAATAAATTAGGCAATCTAGAAGTGGATGTATTTCTGGTAAACCACAAACTACCAAAACTGGAAAAGGAAGAAACAGAAAACCTGAACATGCCAATATCCAGGGAGGATATTGGGGCAGTCATCAAAAACCTCCCGAGACACAAAAGTCCAGAGCCAGATGACTTCCCAGGGCAATACAATCAAACATTTAATAGGAAACAATACCTATTCTACTAAAGCTGTTCTGAAAGATAGAAAGAGATGGAATACTTCCAAACTCATTTTATGAGGCCAGCATCACCTTATCCAAAACTAGACAAAGACCCCACCAAAAAGGAGAATTACAGACCAATATCCCTGATGAACATGGATGCAAAAATTCTCAACAAGATACTAGCCAATAGGATCCAACAATACGTTAAGAAGATTATTCACCATGACCAAGTGGGATTTATCCTTGGGATGCTAAGATGGTTCAACACTCGTAAAACAATCAATGTGATGGATTATATCAGCAAGAGAAAAAACAAGAGCCATATGATCCTCTCAAGAGATGCAGAAAAAGCATTTGACAAAATACAGCATCCAGTCCCGATCAAAACTCTTGGGAGTGTAGGGATAGAGGGAACACTCCTCAGCATCTTAAAAGCTATCTACGAAAAGCCCACAGCAAATATTCTCAAAGGGAAAAAACTGAGAGCCTTTACCCTAATATCAGGAGCATGCCAGGGCTGTCCACTCTCACCACTGCTATTCAACAGAGTACTAGAAGTCCTAGCCTCAGCAATCAGACAGAAAAGAAATAAAAGGCATTCAAATGGGCAAAGAAGAAGTCAAACTCTCCCGCTTCACCGATGACATGATACTCTACCTAGAAAACCCAAAAGACTCCACCCCAAGATTGCTAGAACTCATACAGCAATGTGGCAGTGTGGCAGGATACAAAATCAATGCCCAGAAATCAGTGGAATTTCTATACACTAACAATGAGACTGAAGAAAGAGAAATTAAGGAGTCAATCCCATTTACAATTGCACCCAAAAGCATAAAATACCTAGGAATAAACCTAACCAAAGAGGTAAAGGATCTATACCCTAAAAACTACAGAACACTTCTGAAAGAAATTGAGGAAGACACAAAGAGATGGAAAAATATTCCATGCTCATGGATTGGAAGAATTAATATTGTGAAAATATCAATGCTACCCAGGGCAATTTACACATTTAATGCAAGTCCTATCAAAATACCATGGACTTTCTTCAGAGAGTTGGACAAATCATCTAAGATTCATGTGGAAGCAGAAAAGACCCGAATAGCCAGGGGAATATTAAAAAAGAAAACAACTGGGGGCCTCACAATGCCAGATTTCAGGTTGTACTACAAAGCTGTGGTCATCAAGACAATGTGGTACTGGCACAAAAACAGACACATAGATCAATGGAACAGAATAGAGAACCCAGAAGTGGACCCTGAACTTTATGGTCAACTAATATTCGATAAAGGAGGAAAGACTATCCACTGGAAGAAAGACAGTCTCTTCAATAGATGGTGCTGGGAAAAGTGGACATCCACATGCAGAAGAATGAAACTAGACCACTTTCTTGCACCAGACACAAAGATAAACTCAAAATGGATGAAAGATCTAAATGTGAGACAAGATTCCATCAAAATCCTAGAGGAGAACACAGGCAACACCCTTTTTGAACTTGGCCACAGTAACTTCTTGCAAGATACATCCACGAAGGCAAAAGAAACAAAAGCAAAAGTGAACTATTGGGACTTCATCAAGATAAGAAGCTTTTGCACAGCAAAGGATACAGTCAACAAAACTCAAAGACAACCTACAGAATGGGAGAAGATGTTTGCAAATGACATATCACATAAAGGGCTAGTTTCCAAGATCTGTAAAGAACTTATTAAACTCAACACCAAGGAAACAAACAATCCAATCATGAAATGGGCAAAAGACATGAAAAGAAATCTCACAGAGGAAGACCTAGACATGGCCAACAAGCACATGAGAAAATGCTCCGTATCACTTGCCATCAGGGAAATACAAATCCAAACCACAATGAGATACCACCTCACACCAGTGAGAATGGGGAAAATTAACAAGGCAGGAAACCACAAATGTTGGAGAGATGTGGAGAAAGGGGAACCCTCTTACACTGTTGGTGGGAATGTGAACTGGTGCAGCCACTCTGGAAAACTGTGTGGAGGTTCCTCAAAGAGTCAAAAATAGATCTGCCCTAGGACCCAGCAATTGCACTGCTGGGGATTTACCCCAAAGATACAGATGCAATGAAACGCCGGGACACCTGCACCCCGATGTTTCTAGCAGCAATGTCCACAATAGCCAAACTGTGGAAGGAGCCTCGGTGTCCATCGAAAGATGAATGGATAAAGAAGATGTGGTGTATGTATACAATGGAATATTACTCAGCCATTAGAAACGACAAATACCCACCATTTGCTTCAACGTGGATGGAACTGGAGGGTATTATGCTGAGTGAAGTAAGTCAATCGGAGAAGGACAAACATTATATGGTCTCATTCATTTGGGGAATATAAAAAATAGTGAAAGGGAATAAAGGGGAAAGGAGAAAAATTAGTGGGAAATATCAGAAAGGGAGACAGAACATGAGAGACTCCTAACTCTGGGAAACGAACTAGGGGTGGTAGAAGGGGAGATGGGTGGGGGTGGGGGTGAATGGGTGGCGGGCACTGAGGGGGGCACTTGATGGGATGAGCACTGGGTGTTATTCTGTATGTTGGCAAATTAAACACCAAAAAAAATAAATTTATATAAAAAAAAGTACAAGTCACTGTGAAAAATTATATATGTGGGGGATCCCTGGGTGGCTCAGTGATTTAGCACCTGCCTTAGGCTCAGGGTGTGATCCTGGAGACCCAGGATCGAGTCCCACATCAGGCTCCCTGCATGAAGCTTGCTTCTCTCACTGCCTGTGTCTCTGCCTCTCTCTCTCTCTCTCTCTCTCTCTGTCTCTCATGAATAAATAAAATCTTTTAAAAATTATGTATGTGAAAATATACAGTAATATATATGCTTATCAGCCTGAATAACAGTCTTACCTCTTCAATATCTTGGTGAATCCCACATTCATAATTAATATCTGAATCAAGGAGTTAAGACAGCAGGTCTGTCCAATGTTGTGTAAACCAACAGGGCCTATATAGAAAAGAGAAAAAAATACTGAGGACAAGATCAAGCTAAGCAATTTAACAAAAATCAAATGTCTTTCTAAGATCTAACAAGGACATGGAATCCCGCAAAATTCTCTCAGAGGTACAAAGACTTCACTAAAGAGCTTGCAACCAAATTGGAGAGGAGGGATAAAGCATGGGACTCTGAAAAGCAAACTAGTAGTAAAACTTTTGATAGTTCTTAGGAAAAGAGAGCTGTCACAAGAAAGTATTATGCAATGTCAAATGAATAGTACAAGCAATTGTTATAAAAGGAAAGAGAAAGAAAGAAACTACAGACAGTATAACTGGGAGCATTATGAGTTCCTCCCACTCAAGCTGTTCCTTATAGAGTTGAGTCAGAATGGGCATATATGGAGCTCAGAGATAGAAGTAATTTCCTAGCTAGTCTAGTTCAGACTCCAGTGAACAGGATCCTACCTAGTCCCCACCAGTTGAAGAATATCAGGGGAAGAAAACTCTGGGAGAGATTCACTAATCTAAGCTCACCTCCAGAGGCTGGAAACCAAAAGGAATTTATGAAGATGTGAAAAAACCAAAAGATAGCATTTCTCTGAAGTCTCCTTTTCCAACCCAACTTGGGGTCATCTGACCTCACAAAGTGAGTAATTTAAGAGGGAGGTAAAACCACTAAACTCAGAGTTCCTGAGGAAAGGATTTTTGTGTATATGAGATAGGGTATTAAGATAAAAAAAAAATCCAGGGACAGTAAGTATTCACAGATTTTGGCTCCTGAATCAGCAGAAGAACCTCTAGACATACTAGCACACAGGTGCAACAGTAAAGGCAGGAACTAATGCTGAGTGCCACTATATACCAAGCATTAATTTGAGGCACTTTCCACAGATTATTTCATTTACCCCTCCCAACAACCTTATGTACTCAGTACTAGGATTATGCCCACTTTACAGATGCAGAAATGGAGGCACATGAAATCAGGAGTCATTAACCACAAAGCTCTAGCCCATCTAGCCCATCTGTATACTGGTTCAGAATACAGTAGGTGAGCAAAGTATTTCTATACAGCCAAAAAGAGAAAAATGTGAGGTATCTAATGACCATGAGGACAGTCCCAGGCGCTGAGGCACTCCCTTCGCTGCTCCTTCTTCCTCTTCATATTGTTCTCTTCCTTATTTTCAGTGGGTTCTGCTGAGAAATGCTGAGACTCAGCCAGGATGCACTGGCAAGTTACCTCAGGAACCCCAACACCTGACCCATTAGTGATCACTCCAAAATCCCCAGGCTACTGGCTGCCCGGCTTGTCTTCAGGACTGCACACTTCCAGGAAGAGTTCACCTGAGTCAGCTTTGGTGGGAGCTCTGTGAAAACACACCACAGCTAGGTAAGAATAAGGGAGAAGGAAAGCATATCCATGTGATCAGTTCTGATTCCAAAGAGACAAGTCACATGGATGGAGGCAAAACATATTATGCTAAGTGAAATAAGTCATTCAGAGAAAGACAAAAATGTATGATCTCACTCATGTGTGGAATTTAAGAAAGAAAATAGATAAACATATGGGAAGAGGACAGAGGGAAAAAAAGGAGAGAGGGAAACAAGCCATAAGTGACTCTTAACCAATAAAGAACAAACTGAGGGTCTACTGACTAATATATGTAGTTAGAACTTGACTTTCTGGGAATCTGCTGAAAATCAATGAATGAATGAACGAACAAGCAAACAGCCAGCCAGCCAGCCAGCCAGCCAGCCAAACCAACCAACCAACCAACCAACCAACCAACCAACCAACCAACACCTCAGAAGGTTTCAAGACACGTGCCTACAAAGGATCACGGATCATTACAAAACTGAAAACATCAGTATCTGCTTCGCCAAGTTGGCCCTAGGAGATTCTACAGGATATTATAGAGTTGTCACCAAATGTAGCTCCTTTACTATTGAGAAGTTCTCACTCTCTTACGTAGGTAAAGACCAGATAAAAATGAATATAAAAATCTTGCTGTTCTGGGCAGGTAAAGGAATAAAACTATTGTCTTTTCTTCTCTGTTCACAATCTCTTCTCAAGAGTAGACTACCAATGCAAGAAAACTTTGGCATTTTAAGAGAGAAGAGGTAAATCTCAATGTTATACCAGTGCACTTGTAAAACTCACTTCTCCCAATCTCAGTCTGTCCAGACAATGCATAAAATTCCATTTCAAAAAGTCTCCTTCAGGGACACCTGGGTGGCTCAGTGGTTGAGCATCTGCCTTTACCTCGGGGCATCATCCCAGGGCCCTGGGATCAGGTCCCACATCGGGTTTCCTGCGGGGAGCCTGCTTCTCCCTCTGCCTATGTCTCTGCCTCTTTCTCTCTCTCTCTCTCTCTCTCTCTCTCTCTCTGTCTCTGTCTCTGTCTCTCATGAATACATAAATAAAATCTTTAAAAAAAAGGATCAATCTGAGGGTTGATGGAGGGAAGTTTGTGGAGGATGGGCTAGATGGGGGATGGGCATTAAACAAGGCACTTACCTGCAATGCCGTGGATGGAACTAGAGGGTTTTATCTGTCCGATAAAGACAAATATGTATCATATGTGGAATTTAAGAAACAAAACATAGGGGAAGGGAAGGAAAAATAAGTTAGAAACAGAAAGAGCAAACAATAAAAGATTCTTAACTATAGGAAACACATTGAGGGTTGCTGGAGGGGAGGGGGTTAAGGAGATGGGGTAACTGGGTGATAAGCATGAAGGAAGCACGTGATGGAATGAGCACTGGGAGGATGACAGAACATGAGAGACTCCTAACTCTGGGAAACGACCAAGGGGTAGTGGAAAGGGAGGTGGGCAGGGGGGGTTGGGGTGACTGGGTGACAGGCACTGAGGGGGGCACTTGACAGGATGAGCACTGGGTGATATGCTATATGCTGGCAAATTGAACTCCAATTAAAAAAATAATAAAATAATAAAAATTAATAAAAATTAAAAAAAAAAGAATGAGCACTGGGTGTTATATGCAACTGATGAATCACTAAATTATACCCTGAAACTAATAATATACTATATGTTAAGTATATTGAATTTAAATAAAAATAAATTAAATTGAATTTAAGTAAAAATTTAAAAATAAATAAATAGGGCACTTGTGATGAGCACTGGGTGTTATATGTAAGTGATGAATCACTGAATTCTATTCCAAGAAACCAATATTGCACTGTATGTTAACCAATAAAATTAAAAAACAAAAAGATAAATCTTAAAGGGAAAGAAATGTTCAGCTTATAAAGCCCTAGGGTTATAAGTGAAAACTGAACTATACATTCCTTACCTCTCCCACATGTTTCCGTTTTTTTTCTTCTTCAGAGCAGACAGCCATATGCTTTTTCCCGTAGGTTCTCTACTCTGGCAAATAGCACAACATTCACCAAGGGGGTCCAGACCAGAAACCTGGGTATCTCTTTTCTTCTCACCCCCAGGCCCAATCATTAAGGACTGTCAATTCTACCACTTAAAGGTTGCTCACAGGCATTCTCCTTGCTAACCATACCCTTGACTTCCTGGGAAACCTGTCCTGGCTCCTCAGCTGAGCCTCCACATTGTCTATGTGTCTGTGCACTTTGTACTCAGAGCTCTTCAAATAATTGGTTTGCTATATTCTACTGTGGGGAATAGCTATGTCTCCACTTGTACTGGAGAGTGGTGCACCACTCAGACTCTTCCTGCAGGGCAGACATGATTTCTCAGGCAGCACTGGTTGACAGCTCCCCACTGAATCCCTGTTCAGTAATTTACCCTTGAGAAGAAATGTATCCCTATCCAGTGACTGGACAATAGAGAGTATAAAAGTCTTATCACCTTGCCTCAAGGTGATATAGCTCTGATATAGCCCCTTAAGATCAGCTAAGGCCTCTGATGCAACTATCTGCCAGGACAACTCCTCCCTCTGCCCATTCCTGCTTTTCTCACCTCTCCAAATTGCTGTTCCCAAGGGTACTCCCCAGTAAACCTCCTGCATACACATCTCAGAGTTTCAGCATCTGACCTGAGACCCTAAACTGTGAATATCTGGAAGGCAGGGAATGTGTATCTTCAATTGCTACCATTACACTTTGCACAGAGCATAGTGGGAATTCAATAAATAACCACTGAATGAGTGAATGAATAATGAACGAATGAACACATACATGAATAAGGATCTATATGGAACAAAGAACTGTTTCCAAATATCGAAAAGACTATCATGTGGAAGAGACACGATTAGATTTAATTATATTTCTTGTCTTTGGGGCATGAGGGTGGGGGAGGTCAAATGATGTGATGTATGAAAACTATTAAGAAATAGATTTCATTTCAAAATAAAGAACTTTCTCACAGCTGGCAAGCCAACTCCAGAAGCAGTAATTTGTATGTAAGCAGAGGCTAGGCAAGCCCTTGAAAGAGAGTGTAGAAAAGAACTGAATGATGGGTGGAGGCTGAGATCTGTTGTTTACCTTCCAAACCTGAAGCCTCTGATCCCCTCTAGATATTCATTTAATTCAAGTGGATGCATTCAAATGTGTCCCACTGAATTATGTATTCTGGAGAATTACCATGGCAGCTGCAGAGAGAAATCACTGTTGTTCCTAGAGAAGACAGTCCCCTTATACATATATAAATACCCACCAAGGAAAGAAATATATATATTTTTTAATCTTTATTACAATTTTAAGCTTGTTATTTTTCAGATAATGCTAACTTATAAAGAATATTTGTAAAATTCAGAAACATAAAATGAAGAAAACATACATCATTCATTATCCTAGGATCTGAGGATAACTACTACTTGGTATGCACCAAGTCTTTTTTCTTATGTATTTGTGTGTGTGTGAGAGAGAGAGAGAACAGGTGAGGAATACAGGGAGAAGGAGACAGAATCCCAAGCAGGCTCCACATTCAGCACAGAATCCCACTCGGGGCTTGATCCCATGACACTGAGATTGTGACCTGAGCCGAAATCAAGAGTTGGATGTTTAATCAACTGAGCCCCCTAGGTGTCCTTTTTCCTAAATATGTTTTACATGGCTGATATTTTACTTTTTTCTCATTTCACATTATAACATGAATTTTCCCAAGCTCTTCATAAATACCTTTTGATGACTGATACAACAATAAAACATTGTGGAGTATTCTGGTTCTTTTTCAATATTTTACAATTATAACAAATACACTTTGGTGAACATTTTTAGGCATGAAACTTTTTTCTACCTATTTGATGTTTTTTCATGCAAACTAACACAACAAAACTTAGCTATAAATGAGGTCATATTAACCACGTAACCCAAATTCCCCCCTACTCTTTTACTTTCTCCTGACAACACAGACTTCAGCCACCCATAAATGCTCCCAGGCATATTTTGGAATCTTAAGAGGAGTCCCTTATGTGTTTTGGAACAAGGTGACAACCACTGTACCCTGCCTCTGCCCACTCCCGAATTTCCACTACACCTGCAAGGCAACGCAAGGTAAAACAATCAGTGAATTAAGGTTCCTTCCTATTTCCAAGTAGGGGCTTGATGTGGAAGTGGGATACATGCCCAGGTCCTCCCACTGCCCTGTGCCCTTCGATTTCACCAAATTCCTTCTGAAAGGGCTTCACCCTCTGCCTGCAGCTGCTCTCTGTCCAGGGCTTTCAGTCCTGTGCCCAGGTCTAAGTTGGGAAGCATAAACTATCCTGTCTTCTCTACGTGTCTACCCAGGGGCATACATGCAAGATTTCCTTATTTGTTCCCCTCTTTCCATGCAAGTAAATCTGCAGCCCTCTAACTATTCTGATCATCAGAAACAACCAGACATTTTATCAAGGTTTAGGACAGATGCTTAGAAATGTAATTATAGGGGATTCCGGGGTGGCTCAGCTGTTTGGCACCTGTCTTTGGCCCTAGGTGTGATCTTGGAGTCCCAGGATCGAGTCCCACATTGGGCTCCCTACATGGAGCCTGCTTCTCACTCTGCCTGTGTCTCTGCCTCTTTCTGTCTCTCATGAATAAATAATAAAAATCTTTAGAAATGTAACTACAATAGGATAATTGGGTAATGGGTATTAAGCCTCAAGGGCATGTGATATGATGAGCACTGGGTGTTAAACACAACTAATAAATTACTGAACACTACATCTGAAACTAATGATAATTGAATTTAAATTTTAAAAAGCAATGTAATTACAAGGTTGAAGTATACAATGTTTGAGATTCTTAATATATGTTGCTAAATACCTTGTACCAGTTTATACACCAACCAGTGGGGTGTGAGCAAACCCAACAGAACCCAAGGGTTAAATGAAATAACCTAAGTTCACTGATGTTTACAAGGACAGGCTTTCTGGAAAAAAAGTGAGTCTTGAA